GCGCCCTGACACCCCCCTGGTGTCCCCATTCCCAGGGGTCTCTGTCACTCCGGGGTCCCCGCTGCCCCCCAGACCCCCCTCACCTCGGGCCCCTCCTGGGCAGCCTCGATGCATTTCTGGGCCCCCTCGGGGGTCTCGAACTGGGCAAAGGCAGAGCCTGGGGGAGCAGGGGGGGTCAGGGGGACACCGGGGAGCCCCCCGGGCAGGGGGAGCCAACCCCACATGGGGAACACCCCCAGTTTGGGGCCACCCCAAACGGGAGATAACCCCCCCATGGGGGACATTCCCACTGTGGGCCTTCCCAAATCGGGGAGACCCCCCCTCAAATGTGGAACTGACACCCCCAAACGTGGGACAGACACCCCCAGGTGTGGGACAGACACACCCCCAAATATGCTACACCCCAAAACTTGACAGCCCCCCCCGGGCTGCCAGCACCCCCCCAAATACCCCAGGACCCTCTGGGACCCCTCCCAAAGATCCCCCCAGGACTCCCCCCCACCTCTGGGGTGCAGCCCCCACCCCGATCCCCCATTTTTGGGGGTCTCAATGTGGGGGAGCAGCACTTGGTGCCCCCCCAGCCCCTGCCCCACCCTTGGGGGTCCTGGTGTGGGGGAGCAGTGGGGGAGCAGCACCCGGTGCCCCCCCAGCCCCTGTCCCCCCTTTGGGGGTCCCTCAGCCCCTGTCCCCACCCCCCAGGAGCCCCCCAGACTCTGCCAAAGCCCCTCCAGACCCCACAGAACCCTCCTGTCCCAGGAGCCCCCAGCCCCAGCCACGACAGTACCCAACAAACCTTCCTCATCCTCATCCTCTTCACCTTCATCCTCCTCATCCTCTTCTTTTTCCTCATCTTCCTCTTCTTCATCTTCCTCCTCCTCAGATTCCTCCACCTTCTTTTTTTTACTGTGCCCCGGCCCAGCTCTGACCCCTGATCCCCTTTTTGGGGTCTGCCGGGGCGGCTGGATCCTCTTCTTTTCCTCCTCTTCTTCCTCCTCCTCCTCTTCCTCTTCCTCCTCCTCTTCTTCCTCTTCCTCATCCTCTTCGTCCTTTCCTTCATCCTCTTTTTCTTCTTCTTCCTCTTCTTCCTCCTCATCTTTCTCCTTGTTTTCCTTCCCTTTCCCCTCCCCCTCTGTAAGAACAGGGGGTGGGGGGGGTCACAGTCACCCCTCACCCCCCTCTGTCCCCCCAAATCCCCGGGGGCCCAGCCCAGCCCCTCACACGGAGAGAGGGGGGGGTCTGGGGTCTCACCGGGGGTTTGGGGAGTCTCAAGGGGTCTGGGGTCTCACCAGGAGGTTAGGGGAGTTTCAGGGGGTTTGGGGAATTGCAGGGACCCGCGGGCGGGCGGGGCTCACGGGCAGGCGCCGCCCCCCCAGCGCGGGGGGGTCCCGCAGCGCCCGCGCCGCGTCCGCGGCCAGCGAGAAGGTGACAAAGCCGAACCCGCGGCACCGCGGGGACCCTGGGGGGCACGGGGGTCTCAGGGGCCGGAGACCCCCGAACGGCCCTGCCCCCAGAGAGCCGCTGTGCGGGCAGCTGAGTGCCCCCAACTGCTGCCCCCCAATTCCTGCCCCCCAACTGCTGCCCCCCAATTCCTGATTTCCTGATCCCCCCAANCGCAGCGGGGGCGGCGCCCCCCGGGAGGGGCCCCGGGCCGAGGGGGCAGCGCCGGGATCGCCCCCCCCGGCGGGACCCCCGCAGGAGGCGGCGCGGGACAGCGCGGGGGGGGCTCCGGGGGGGGCGCTGGCCGTGCCCGGTGCCGCTGTCCCTGAGGTGCCGGCGGTGCCACTTCCCGCGGTGGCGGTTCTGCTGTCCCTGCCTGTGCCGGGGGTGCCACGCTCTGTCCCGCCGGCCGTGCCAGCCGTGCCAGCCGTGCCAGGTGTGCCAGGTGTGCCAGGTTTGCTGGTTGCTCCAGATGTGCCAGATGTGCCAGGTTTGCTGGTTGCTCCAGCCGTGCCAGGTGTGCCAGCCGTGCCAGGTTTGCTGGTTGCTCCAGCTGTGCCAGGTGTTCCGGCGGTGCTGCCTGTGCCCGGTGTGCTGGTTGTGCCAGGTGTTGTGGCTGTGCCAGCCGTGCCAGGTGTGCCAGGTTTGCTGGTTGTGCCAGGCGTTGTGGCTGTGCCAGCTGTGCTGGTTGTTCAGGTTTGTTGGTTGCTCCAGCTGTGCCAGCTGTGTTGGCTGTGCCAGGCGTTGTGGCTGTGCCAGCTGTGCTGGTTGTTCCAGCTGTGCCGGTTGTTGCAGGTGTTCCAGCTGTGCTGGCTGTACCAGGTTTACCAGCTGTGCCAGGTGTGCTGGTTTTTCCAGCTGTGGCAGGTGTTGTGGCTGTGCCAGGTTTGTTGGTTGCTCCAGCTGTGCCAGCTGTGTTGGCTGTGCCAGGTTTGCCAGCTGTGCCGGTTGTTGCAGCTGTTCCAGCTGTGCCGGTTGCTCCAGCTGTGCCAGCTGTGCTGGCTGTGCCAGGTTTGCTGGTTGCTCCAGCTGTGCCAGGTGTTCCCGATGTGCCGGCTGTGCTGCCTGTGCCAGGTGTGGTGGCTGTGCCAGGTGTTCCAG